ATGTATGTATGTATGTATGTATGTATGTATGTATGTATGTATGTATGTATCAGAGGTGGTTTGCTGCCCAAAAATAGAGGGAGGAAGTCCCTCCCCCGTTCCCTTTGTTGGACCTGGAAGCCTTGCCTGCCGGGCTTTCTGGGCAACGCAAAGCTGGGCATGATGCTGCAATCATCCCCTCATGCGCGGTCTCCAGGAGACTGGCCAGGAGAGCCTGGTGGGCTCAGGCTTTTTCCTCGGGAAGGAAAGGTGCATTCACTATTTCCCTCTATGACCGGCCTTGGAAAAAGCCACCCTCATAATTGGACTCCCCTTCTTCCAATACTCCTGTGGGGAACCCAGGCTTGGAGCAGCAGCAAAAGTTTGGACCTTGCTAAGGAGGACCGCTTCTCTGCCCCAGTCATGTGTTTTCCAGGGCTGCCTGAAGTGAAAAGCATGCAATATGCTGCCGCTAAGCTCCTCCAGGGTTCCTTGCACGAGCACTGGAAGAAAATTGGCCGATGGTCGGCTGTAGTCAGGCTCCGGGTTTGGAGCAGCAGCAGATGGAGTTCAGGGCACACAATCTACTCCTCAAGCTCTCAATGCCTGAACTGGCAAGCTGGAAGAGAGATTCTCCGTCGTGCTGGTGAGTAAGTACGGATCGAGTGGGCTTTTTGCTTCCCCCCCACCTCCCCATCCCGATCGAGCATGGCGCAGGCAGCCCAATGGAGGCAGAAAACAGGGTGTTTCCATTGTCCCTTTTCTTTTTTTCTCCCTAGCCTCCTTTGGACAGCATGCACCAGGTAGGGGGGAAGGCGCTTGGAATGTTACGTAGGAAATCGCCCTGTCTCTGCAGCATCAGCTCTCCTGCACCCCCCTCCACTTTGCTGTGAGTGATGTTGAGTTGGCCACACCCACCCCGTCACACGACCCCCCAAGTCACGCCCACCCAATGAGTCACTAGGTGAAGCGGTTGTTAAATTACTTGAAGCCCACCACTGGTGTGTGTGTGTGTGTGTGTATACACACACATTTAGGGGTGGGATTCTACCGGTTCGGACTGGTTTGGGTGAACCGGATATTAAATTTGCATCTGGTTCACTGAACTGGTATTTGAACCGACTGGCTGGCCCCGCCCACCACTCCCTTTTCCTTCTAGGAGTCTCCAGATGGCCCATTTTTGATGCAGGTAAATGCAGGGTCTGCGTGGAGGCTCTGGGAGAAGGAAAAATGGGCCTTCTGGAAGTACCAAAAGTTGTGAAATGGGCCTGTTTCCGGTTTCTGGAGGGCCTCCAGAGCCCGGGGGTGGCCATTTTTGCCCCCCCAGAGGCCCGAGGGAAGCATCCGAACCCTTGGGAAGGCAAAAAACAGCCCTACCGGAAGTTCTAGTTAGCCACGCCCACCATGCCCATGCCCACCCAGCAACTGGCCAGTGAACCAGTTGCTGAGATTTTTGAATCCCACTCCTGCATGCATGCATGCATGCATCCATCCATCCATACAATAAAATTGTTTAAGAAATGCTATCTGTCTGTCTGTCTGTCTGTCTATCTTATATGTGTTTCTGTGTGAGTGTGGGAAATTAAATACAAATAAAATTAAAAGAGAAATCTAAGCTAATGGAAGATGAAGGAAAAGAGAAAAAGGCAAAATTAAATGTACAGCAAGTAAGGAAAAAGGTTCAAAATCTGAGCCAAAATAATTTTTCCAATATCTTCCAATCATTCTCTTAGCATTTCCCCCCAATCAATGTAACCAAAAGTTAATTAAAAACAGTCAAGTACAGAGGTGGGTTTCAGAGGTTCTGACCAGTTCTGGAGAACTGGTAGCAGAAATTTTGAGTAGCTCAGAGAACCGGCAAATGCCACCTCTGACTGGCCCCGCCCCCATCTCTTCTTGGCCTCCCGAGTCCCAGCTGATTGGCTGGGTCTTCTTTGGTTGTCCTGCACAGGAGAACAGAGCTGGAAAGCAGGTTAGTGGGGTGAGGAGGATAAGGGGAAATTAGCAGTAACCTCCCCCCAGGAGTGGGGTGGGAATGGAGATTTTACAGTATCCTTCCCCTGCCATGCCCACCAAGCCACACCCACAGAACCGGTAGTAAAAAAAAATTGAATCCCATCACTGGTTGAATATCACATTTTTGGAATATAATTTAACATTATATTAGCCTCTTCATCAATGAAAAATTTCCATACCAGTGAAGAATGTGAGTGTTGTATTTGTTGTTTTGCAGATGCTGAACAGTGTGAGAGATGCCCTGAGGACCAACAATCAAACAAGGAGCGAATTAAGTGTGTTCCTAAGGTGATAGTCTTCCTATCCTATACAGAAGATCTGGGGATCATCCTTATTTCTGTTGCTTTACTTTTCTCTTTGAGCAACTGTTTTGTTTTAAGCATATTCATTAAGCACCTGGAAACTCCGGTAGTCAAAGCCAATAACCGGGACCTTTCCTACCTGCTCCTCATTGCCCTCCTGCTTTCCTTCTTGTCTTCCTTCCTCTTCATTGGCCAGCCAAGAAGAACCACTTGCCTTCTGAGACAAGCAGCCTTCAGCATCATTTTCTCAGTGGCTGTCTCTTCTCTCTTGGCCAAAACCATCATGGTGGTGCTGGCCTTCCTAGCCACCAAACCAGGGAATAGCATGAGGAAATGGCTGGGGAAGTCTTTGGGCAACTCCATTGTCCTTTTTTGTTCTGTTGTCCAAACTCTGATCTGCACTCTCTGGTTGGGTACTGCCCCTCCTTTTCCAGACTCGGATATGCATTCCCAGTCTGGAGAGATTGTCCTGCAGTGCAATGAAGGATCAGTCACCATGTTTTACACCGCACTTTGCTACATGGGCTTCCTGGCAGCTGTCTGCTTGGTGGTGGCATTCCTGGCCCGGAGGCTGCCTGGGGCCTTCAATGAAGCCAAGCTGATCACCTTCAGCATGCTGGTCTTCTGTAGTGTTTGGATCTCCTTTGTGCCCACCTATCTCAGCACCAAGGGCAAATACATGGTAGCTGTGCAGGTCTTCTCTATCTTGGCCTCCAGTGCTGGGCTGCTGGGCTGCATCTTTTTCCCCAAGTGCTACATTATCCTTTTTCGACCTGATTTAAATACAAAGGAGCAGCTTAATTTGAAAAGCAAAACAGAATTGTAATTTTAAATGTGGGCAACCTAGCAAGGAGCCTACGTCCCATTTGCTTATCTCTGTTCCCAAAGACAAATGTTTTAGATCAAAAACAAAAATTTCTTAAGGAAGCTTATCTGTTTTATACTTACATTTTAAGTAACACCCAATTTGTACAATGTTTTCTTTAAAGGAGTAGTAGAATGGAAACTTTACATTTTATCCCACATAATCATCTGTGCACTCACATAGACATACAAATTATGTAAACAACAAAAGGAAAGAAATAATAGGTTTTCTGGAGAAATCAAAGTCAATACTTTGTGAGAAGTTGGCTATTGTTATCTGACTGCATCTAGTTTTGTGATGTACATGAATCTTTTTGTGCTGTGACATCAGATTTCTTGGGTTCATTGTGCATTGTAGTTTCCCTGATAAAAAGCAAGAGTCTGGGTTTAACTAGTCTGTTGGAGAAACTGTAGATTTGTACTGTCTTTTCTACTGCTATGGTGAATTGATCCAATAAATGGAGTTCCTATGGTGAACGGTGGCATCTTGTTACCCTTGTGATCTTTATCCACAGTTCCATTGTCCAGCTGTCCATGTCCATGTAACAGCCATTCCAGGACATTAAAAATATTACCACAGTGGATCAACTTGGTGGTTTTTTGAAGGTCTTTTTTTCTCACTTCAACAAAAGATCAATGATATAGACAAAGGTCTATCCTAATAATCAAACAGGGCAGTCTTCTTTAAGGACTTTTGAGAGTCAATCCAGAATGTATCTCAGACCATCCCACTAGTAGTTCTCCTTTTAGAAGGGAAGTAGTTGGTCAGTGATCCCCTGGTAACAATTTGAGTCCAGTGGTAATCCTGCCCATGGACAGAGGTACAATTGACCTATGAAAGGAGACCTTTCTAAAGCATACTGAGAATTGGCCAATTAAAACAGCCATATCTGTAAATATACCTGCTGCTTACACCAATCGACAACAGGCAGCCAAAGGGAATTTAGAGCTGATTCCCCTCCCAAATCTACCAGGAGGGAAAGAAATAACTGTTGGAAGCAGAAAAAGAGCTGAAATCATGCCTTGATTTCAAATCCACAAAATCAGAAATTCTATCTCTTGTATCTCTGTGTCCTTTCCTTTAATGATGAAACTTGTGTTGAAATGCTGCAGTTTAGTGACACCTATGTCTTTTAGTTCTATGCTTCTAAAAGAACTTCTATTTACCAGTTGTGGTTAGAGTGAGAACCTCATATTTGTCAAAGTGTATATATTTAATAATAGATGAATTATTATGGAAATAAGGAACCCTAGTTCTTGAACTGACAGGTACCACCATTCTATAACCAGAATAAATTTGTAACAGCTTGTAATTTTCTCCACAACTGGCATAATTATTTTATGATTTGCCCATCCCTATCCACCTCAGTACAAGTACTCATCACTTACTGACCTCAATAAGGATTTACAAGTCCATCCCTATGTGACACAGTTGTTTTGCTTGTTGTCACCTGACTGTGCTGACTTACAATGTCAGTTTTGACTGTGGTTGTGAAATGAATTCCACCTGGTCATTAAATGCAACATCACGTAATCCTCATTTGCCAGATTGCCTATTGACTTTGCTTGTCAGAAGATAGTTGTGAAGGTTGCAAATTGTAATTTTGTGGCCATGGGATAATCAAACCTTAAGAAGAAAAAGGGTGGAGATGTTGAGATAAGTGTGGTTATTACTTAGACCTCTGCAGATTTCCAACAACCAAGTGAACAAAGCTAATGGGGCTTCAAAAAGATATGTATTCTCCACTCTGAAAGTGCTTTGATAGATCTAGTCCATGACAAATGGCTGCCATTTAGAAGAATCTGCAGGTGAATTCTGCTAACATTTGAGCAATCGACAGCTCCCAGTATGCTTTTGAAAATGGCATGCAGTAATTAGGTGTCACAAGCAGAGGTGGTATTCAGCAGGTTCTGACCAGTTCTGGAGAACCGGTAGCGGAAATTTTGAGTAGTTCGGAGAACCAGCAAATACCACCTCTTACTGGAGATTTTACAGTATCCTTCCCCTGCTACGCCCACCAAGCCACACCCACAGAACCAGTAGTAAAAATATTTGAATCCCACCACTGGTCACAAGGTCATTATTTGCCAGTTTCCTCATTGACTTTGCTTATCAGAATCCCAGCTATGGAGGCTGCAAGTGTGACTATTCAAAATGTGTGCTGTAAATGTGGTTGTAAGCATTTTAATTACAATCACATGACAGTGGGGACACTGTGATGACTGCAACTTCAAGGACCAGCTGTCAGTCTCCTTTTTCAGTGCTGTCATAACTTTAGAACACTTGCTAAAGGAGAAGTCAGTAAGCAAGGACTACTGATATTTAAGAATGAAAGAGGTTTAAAATTTCTTCTCCTTCTCCTTCTCCTCCTCCTTCTCCTTCTCCTTCTCCTTCTCCTCCTCCTCCTCCTTCTTCTTCTGACATGCTGAGATCTTTTTAAAACAGCAAATTTTTGACTTCGTATCCTGCTTCAGAGGCCTCTCCATATTCCATTTTCCATATGCCTCTTTTCACACTAATAAATGATGAAATGCTTTATGTCTCTATATCATGGCCTTGTATAACAATTAACATAGGTTAATTAAAAATATGTACAAGATGTTTTATCGTTGGCATTTGCCACCAATGAGATTGGCTAAAATGTACCCTAACATGAATCTGAAATGCTGGAAATGCAAACAGAACCAAGGTACCTTCTATCATATGTGATGGTCATGCCCGGAAGCCCAAAAATACTGGACTAAAATATGGAGTTGGATACAAGAAATAGTGGAAGATCGGATAGTGTTTTAACCGGAATTGTTCTTGTTGGGAATAATTAAAGGGAAATATAGGAAAAAGATTAAATATATTTTATTACATATATTGACAGCAATAAGGATAGCATTTGCACAATGCTGGAAACAAAATAATACGTCCTCAGAGGAATTAGTAATTCATTTTTTTTTAGATTGTGCTGAAATGGATAAACTGACATTAAAATTAAAAGATAAAGAAGAGTCGGAATATTACAAAATTTGGGACAATTGGTATAAATGGCTGAATAATAGAAATAAGGATAATGGAGATAAGAAAATTATAGATAAATGTATATGAATGTATATAAATGTATATAAATGTAGATATTTATATGAGATTGGTTTATATAATAATGATGGCACAGTACTGTTAATATTAATGTGTAAAAGGTGAAAAAGAACAATAAAAATTATTTTAAAAAATAGCATAGGTTAATGACAATATACTATCATGAATATGCAAGTATGTTCATGATTAAAACATTTCTACAATAAGAGGTCTGGTGTTCTATGAGTCAATAGTGAAGAATAATGGGGCAAGATCAAAGTTTGAAAAAAGAAAACCTAAGGGAATAACCATTTATTACCGGGGTGTTAAACTGGTGGCCCACGGGCCAGATGCAGGCCATGCCCACCCCAGCTCTGCAAAAGGGGGAAAATGTCACAAAAGTCACATGATGGCAAAGTGACATGGTGAGTTTGACACCTGTGATTTTTCTATAGGAGGAAAACTCGGACCTGATGAATGGCATCTTAGGCTCCTGAAGGCGCTTGCTTGTGGGTCTAGCCAAAAAGTGATGTTTTTATTTTAGCAAATCCTGGAGAAATAGTTAAAAGAACTGGTGGGGAGTACATATTTCCTACTCTTATCTCATTATCTTATCTCAAGTACTTTGTTAGTAGACTGTGTGACTGCTGTAGATATTTATTGTTCAAATGTTTACATCATTGCAATCCATAGACTTTCTGCAGGTAGCCAATTAGAGAAGGGTTCATGGAATACCGTATCATGGTATGAGTGGTGGTGGCTAGTCCCTCGAGGGATGAGTAAAGAACCCTGGCATAACAGATTACAGATAATCAGAGTTAGAAGGGACCTTATAGGTCATCTAGTCCAACCCCCTGCCCAAGCGGGAGATCCTACACCATTTCTGACAAACAGCAGTCCAATATCTTCTTGAAGGTCTCAAGTGATGACGCTCCCACAACTTCCAAGGGCAAGCTCTTTCATTGGTTGATTGTTCTCACTGGGAATGGATGCCAAGAGTCTATATTCCCAGTAGAGTCACCCAAGGCATAAAAACTCATACCAGCTGCCCAGCTAAACCAATGGTTGTCCAATCTCTTCTTAAAAACTTCCAGTGTTGGAGCATTTACAACTTCTGAAGGCAAGTTGTTCCACTGGTTAATTGTTCTGTCAGAAAATTTATCCTTACTTCTAGGATGGCTCTCTCCTTGATTAGTCTTCATCCATTCCTTTTTGTCCTGCCTTCTGGTGCTTTGGAAAATAGGTTGACCCTCCTCTTCTTTGTGGCAACCCCTGAAGTATTGAAAGACTGCTATCATGTCACTCCTAGTCCTTTTCATTAAATAGATATAATCAATTCCAGCAACTGTTCTTCATATAGTTTAGCCTCCAGTCCCCTAATCATCTTTGTTGCTCTTCTCTGCACTCTTTCTAGAGTCTCAACAACTTTTTTACATCGTGGCGACCAAAATTGGATGCAGCATTCACAGTGTGGCCTTACCAAGGCATTATAAAGTGGTATTAACACTTCACATGATCTTGATTCAATCTCTCTGTTAATGCCCCCTAGAACCGTGTTGGCTTTTTTGGGAGGTGCAGCATATAGCTGGCTCATATTTAAGTGATTGTCTAGATTTTTGCTAAGAAATCCATGTTAGTAAGTACTCATAGTGGGAGAGAAATGTCTATGGACATTCTCAGTCATCCAGGTCAAGGTTGTCCCAAAGATGCTTTTTTCAAGAGGTAACTGGACTTTCTGATTTTTCTTTGAAAATGTTTCACTTCTCATCCAAGAAGCTTTTCAAGTCTTCTTCAGAAGCTTCTTGGATGAGAAGTGAAATGTCTTCAAAGAAAAACCAGACAGTCCAGTTGCTTCTTGAAAAAGCACCTTTGGGATAGGGTGTGAGAGAATTTAT